ATGTGTGCATCACTTTCATACCATTGTAAAATTTCACAAATAGTCAAGCCATCATAAGTCAGAAACCATTTGTAGCTCTGAGAGGTTAAAGATGACAAAGAGCAGAACACTGCTTACTTGTTTCAAGAAAATAGAACAAGATCTCCTGAAATAGAGGTGAGTTCTAAAGCACTCACAGTTCCTTAAAGGTGAAAGTGAAATATTATTATATGGAAGCCTGAGTTGCTTTTGTGCCAAGCTCAGTCTAGGAGGCATCTGCCAGTTTTCTCTTTGAGGGTGGGTTCCATAGCATCTTCTGCCCCATCTGCCTTCTTGCAGAACCCCTGTTTTCTAGGCCCTCATCTCTTTGAGGCTCAGATAGGACCAAGTTAGGGATGCTGTTGGCTCTGGTCTCAGACTTCCCCAAGGAACATTGTTCTGAGTTGCTTTTGGAAAAAAATTGACTTAGCTAACAAAGGAAGAGCAGTTGATGAGGACTCACATGATATTGTTAGGCACCTGTCTTTTAGACTGAGCTCTGTGGTTTCCACAGTGAGGCAATGAAGCTAAAAGAATTATTTTTATTAGACAGTCACCCAGAACATGAGCAGTGCCTCACAGGAGTTTAGAGTAAAACAGAATATCAATTTAAATAGAGAGGTATGACCCTAACTCTGCTATATTTAGCAGCCTCTAACCACATTACTGCAATTGGTGAGTGGTATATACTTAAATAATATATGAAAGCTGATATTTAAAGCTGAAGTGAAATTACAGTGTGTATAAAACTCTTTGTGTCTGATTTAATGTAATGTCTTTGAGATTCATCTATGTATATAGAAGATGGATGTATAACATTCTTATTTTATGAACGAACCACAATATACCTATTCTCCTATTAATGGGCATTTGAGTTTAGAGAGAGTTGGCTCCAGAGGAGCCACATTGGTGATCCCAGGGAAGCTTATTGGAATTCTAGTGAGAAAATTCCAATTTAAATGGTATTTAGAGAGAAAATGCCACTTCCAGTGCAAACCACAGTAAGAATAGATTCATACATATCTGCAGTTATGGGTAGGCAAGGGGATCCTTAGTCCAGTCTGAGCATTGTCTGACCAGAACAGAGACCACAACCAAGAGTCCAACCCAGGTTTTATTAATTTGTGAAGAGGAAAGTGGCTTAGGGTTGAGTGATTGTGAGAATGGTGGGAAGTATGTGAGTGATATGAGCTGGGCCAGGTAGGAGACACAGTAGCAACTCTGTAGTATGCAGACAGGAATGCAGAAAAAGTACTGGGTTCCAGTAACAGGCAGCCTCTAAGTCTGGAGGAATCTACATAACACAGTTTGGGGAAGTATCTTGAAATTTGGTCAGATCCCCTGCAGTCATGCCTGGCCCCCTCTACCCTGAGACCTCACGGGGGGCTCTCAGTCTCAGTGGACAGTGCAGCCTACCCCATGCTTAACAGTAGGAAGTTATAGGTGGGGCGTCACTCACCTATACCATCATTTCAAAGGCTAAACATCAGTGCTTCAGATAGACCCATTTGCATTGCTTAGAGTCAATTGAGGGACTAAAGTATTATCCCATCTAGCTCTGTACATATCAGTACATGGAATTAGGGCCAGGTTTAGCCAACAGTGAGACAAATGGTCTTCTTTTAATGAGAGCTGTCCAGGTGGTTCTTCACATGAGTTGTTCTTGGTTTGGGGTTATTATGAACAAAAGCACTATGAACCTTTTTGTATGTATCTTTTGGTGGATCTATTCTATTTTTTTTTGAGCTGGCTTTTTTGCTGATACCTATTAAATCTATTGATTTTGATATGCTTATTTAGAATTTGGCTATCTTACTGAATTCTAATAGATTTTCAGTTCATTTTCTTGGAACATTCATCAGATAGAAAGCTTTTAGCCCCAAGTAACAGAAAAACTAACTCAAATTGGTCAAAGCCCAAAGAATATATATTTATCCCCATAACTGCAGAGTTCAGCATTGGTCTAGTTTCAGGCAAAATGTGATCCAGAAGGCAGGATGTCATCTGGACCCATCTCCATTCTATGGGTTTCTCTTAGCTTTACCCTCCTTTGTGTACTTCCCTCACTCTCCTCTTCACAGGAGCAACAATTGCTACAGCAGTTCTCTCACAGGTGCAATGGTTGCTATAGCAGTTCCAGAACTCACATCTTTACCATACTATCCAGAGGAAAGGTACATTCTGAAGGATACAAATGAAGACCAAAGAAGAATTTTCCTCCAGTCTTTAGTTAATACCACTTCAAATATCATTGGTTCAAATTAGGTGATGTGCCACTCTATGAGCCAGTTCAATGGTGTGCTTGATAGGATCATGTTCCCTATCTTTGTCCTGAATGAAAAAGTGGTTCTCACCAAACCATGTGGCTGCTGGGTATGAAATCCTGAAAGGAATTATAGAAAGCTTTTGATTGAAGAAGCAAAATGATACTGGGGAGGCAGCCTCACAATGTTTATTTTTATAGCAAGTTGAATGATATTGCCTATAAAGATTATGTATTCTCTCATCTCAACATTAATAGTTTTTGTCTCTGTATCTCTATTTATCTATCTGTCTGTCTGTCTGTCTGTCTGTCTGTCTGTCTGTCTGTCTGGCTTTTTGAGACAGGGTATCACTGTGCAGTTCAGGCTGAGCTTGGACTTATTTTGTAGCCCAGGCTGGTATTAAACTCACAATGATCATCCTACCTCAGCCTCCCCAAGTGCTGGGATTATAGGATAGCTCTGTCTCTTGACTCACATGTTGGCCAGAATATAGGGTCTTTCAGCTTACACAAAATGATGTAAATGGTTGTAACCTTTCTGAAAAGTATTGGGAAAAATGTTTATAAAAAACAGAGTAGGTAGAAAGTTCTAAGAATGAAATACTCCCTAATATTTTATGTGTAATGTTCAGTATTAGCCTAATTCCAAGGATCTATACAAGAAGGGATCAAATCAAGGGGTAGTTGAGATCGCCTTGGCAATGTGGAAAGATTATCTGCTCTTCTATTGCTATATAACAAATCATGAAATTTTGGTCTTAAGCCAACATAGTTTTTTTGCTTCAGAGTTTTTGTAAATTAGAGGCAAACAGTTTAGCTTAGTTCTCTACTCAAGCTCGAAATCAAAGTGATGACTGGGCTGTATTTTTGTCTGGTACTTGGATATTGTTCCAGGCTCTCCCAAGTCATTGGCAGAATTCAGTTTCTTGTGGTTGTAGGTCTAAAGTGGTTTCTTGAGGCTGTCAGCTGGAAGCTGCTCTCAGATATCTGCTATATGGCCCTGACACAGCATGTCGGTTTAACTCTTCAAGGTCCGTGGAGAATACCTTCCCTGTCTGTTCTGACAAAGTTTTACATAGCATGAGGAATTGTGGGAGGACTATATTTTATGTATATTTCTACTTTCCCATTCTTTGATACAGGAGGTAGAAAAAATAAGAAGGATAGGACATCTTTCTCTACCCATAAGTCTGCATTTGAGTTTCCCTGTACAATTTTCTTATTTAAGAAGCCAAAGTTTCTTTTCTGTTGTTTAACAAAGGAGATTGCAAAGAGAGTGTCTGGAAATGGACTCTAAAGGTCAAGGAAAGATGGAGTTCTGTATAGGTTGGATACCTGGACCTCTTTTATTATAGTAAGGTATAATAAGTATAGTATAGTATGCTCCACATATTAGACATTCATTTTATGATAGAGCTTTTCTCATCCCTTCCTTCTTGAGCTATGCTGGATCAATGGCATGATTCATGAACTTCAAAGAACATTCTCCCTAGAAGAATTTTTACTCTAGTTAAATTCTTAACTAGAAGACATTGTCTTTAGGTAAAAGTGGTGGGAATTTTCAGTGAAAATTGTTAATTTAAGCTACCATAGGAATTAAAAATGTTCATGCTTAGAATATTTGTTCCTTTTAGCTATGTGAATTTGGTCAAATTTGATATGTCTAGCCTTCATTTTCCTTGTCAGGGGAATGGAAATGTTAGTATGAAGGTAAAGCATATGAAGTGCTTTCTGTAGTTCTAGCACATAATAAATGGTTTAAAAATCTGAACGGTTTTCATATTACTTAACTTTCTAAAGAAACATTCAATTGGAATTATGATTATGATTATTGCCCATATTTTCAGGTAAGACCACGACAGTTAGGCAGTTTCAGTGTTCCTCATGGTACTGTGATATTTTCTGATAGCAATTGATTATATGTCAGACTTCTTTTCCTTCTGCTCTGCCTTCATACTAGGATGGAGTTCCATAGATGTCTTGTCAGGTTGACAGCATATCTTAGGAAGAGATTAACCACCTCTGCAAAAAAATAGTCAAGCTTTAGAAGTATCAGATTATACAATAGATTAAATAGATTTTGATGTTTTTCTTTGCCCAAGTCTTCAAATAAATTTGGGATTAAGAATATGCATAAAGGTTTTGCTACAGGATGTTAATCATAACTTGTTTATATGATCTAAACTGTAGAAATGTTCCACATTTACAGTTCAATTTAATACATACATACATACAGTGAAATATGCTACACCAAAAAGCAAAATGAAAGGCTTAGAGTAAAGTTGAGAATTAGAAAGCTTTCCTAGAATGTACTTGGTCTTAGTTTCTTTCCCTGGCACTGCAAAAACAATAAAAGTAAAAATTAACTCCTACAGTTATCTATACTTGAAAAAAGTATACAGTTGAATGACAAAAAACAGATTAGAAATTAGGTCATGAAAGATGAATCTGTTTCATAAAAAGAGAATATATGTTGTCATATATAGTAGATATATAATACAAACATATGCATTTAAAACATTTTAGAAGGTATAATCAACATTGTCCATGCTTATTTATTGAAAATTGGAATTATTATAGGTAATTTGAATTTTTTTCACTTGTTTGTGCTTGAATTTTCTGACTTTTATGGGATGGATAATAAATTCTAGTCACTAAAAAAAGGAAAAGAGAGATGCTTCACGTCTTTACATGTGCTGACACTGGTTGATCATTTCAGGTGATTGTGAAGACAAGAACAGAGTATCAACCAGAACAGAAGAACAAAGGGAAGTTCCGAGTGCCAAAGATTGCAGAATTTACGGTCAGTTTCTTGCTGGTGTAGGAGAAAGTAAAGGTAAGGCTGGCAGTAGCCAGCTCAGCAGCCTTGTGTTGGGAAAGCAAGCATTACTGCAGATTGTAAAAATGACCCACGCTTCTTTTGAAGGTTTTGTTGAAGCCATATTGTCCATCACTGAATTTAATCAAAGGACAAAATCTCTAAACATGTACTTTTATATGGTGTTCTGATAAAGCCCTCCTTTATTATTTTGTTTTTTCTTGTCTCCTTCCTATCTTTTCATTACTATATTCTGAAAATATGATGAAAATATATAAAACCCTCAAAACTTTGTTAGTGGACTACAAAAAAGTCAAAAGGGAAGAAAAGTTAATTTGATAGTAGTATAGACCTCCTGGTTGATTTTCTATTTCTTAGTGGAAGAGTCTGAAGCACTGATACATATATATCACTGGCTGTTTTGAGTTGCATAATGGAGCCATGAAGCAAGAGCTCTATAAGGATGAAAAAGAAGACAATTTAAGAGTTAAAAGATAGTAGGAGGGAGTAAATTTAAGTAGGCATAAGGTTACTGGTGGCTGAAGAGAACATAACCTGTGCAAGTCCCTGAGGACAGTGAGACTGGGCTGTAGGAGAGGGTTGGGGAGCAGCAGAGATGAGACTGGCAAAGTAGGCAGGGTGCAGACTGTTCCAGCCTTGGAAAGTAATAGGAGGATGCTGAAAGACTAAGAGGAGGAGGAACATGACTGAATTAGGATTTCTCAAAGAGCATGTTGTCTTTGAAATGGCTTTGTGGGGGTAGCAGGCAAGAGGCAAAGGCAGGAGGCTACTAGGTACAGTAATCATCCCATTAAAAACAGCACTGACTCAGATGGGGATAGTGAGTGGGGAGAAAAATGCAGGCAAACCTAGAAGATAGTTATGAGGCAAAAATAAGGCAGGAAGACAGTAGAAAAAGTGATCCTATGGATGGATACTGGAGCAGACTTGTTGGATTTGTACCTTATTTCCACTTTTATTACCTACTTGGCCACCAGAAAGTCACAAAGCCTCATTTATCAAATGAAGATAATAGTAAGGTTGGTTTGAAGATGAAGTGTAGAACACATGTACAGGGAAGTTAGTGGCACAATTAATAGTAGTTATTTTGTGTCAACTTTGACCAGGGGCTTTGAAAGTGAAGACAGCCCTTTGTTTCTTGCCTGGGGGTAACTATTTTTCTGCATGCTAACTTTGGTTCAGTTGAGTGTGTGATCCAGAGCATGAATGTGGCACCTTTTTGAGAATAGTGACTGCTTTTTAATGTTTCTTTGGTGCCTGCTACACAATGTGATTGTAGACCTGGTACCAGTTGCACATAGGTACCTGCAAGAACAAACATGGACCTGCAGGAGTGAGTACTTAGCTTTAAGGGAGGGATAGGGCATCTTGGTACAGTTTTGTTAAAGCCATATTGTCCATGATGAGTTACATAATGATGTATGTACCAGGCACAGTAATGTGTGTGCACCAGGCAAGCAGTAAAATTGATCTCTCCTGGCAATGGAGATCATAAGAAATATGCCCAGACAAGAATGTATATTTCTATGCTATCTATAAAAATCAAACTATTGGGCATTATTACTTTTCAATTACTTTCTCATGATTCCTTAAAGAAAATCACAATGGTGTGATAGAGTAATTTTTGGTGTTCTAAGAATCACTTTTTTTAGTACTTTCTGAAAGTCTTATGAGATGCTTTCATCTTTTTTATGCTTTCTGTATTTTTATAATAGACATATATTATAATAGACAAAAAATTATTATTTTTTAAAATTTTTGTTGCCTTTACCAGAATGTTAAGAGTATTTAATGAAATTATTTCTTACCCAGAGTTTTCCAAATGATGGCTGTGAAGATATACAGAATTTTAATAAGGGCTTAAGACAGAATGTTGACTAAAAGAATGACACAGTTAAGGTTTTGTGCTTTTAAGGTTGGAACTATGAAGAAACCCACAAGTGTAGAAGGAAGACAATGTAAAAAATATGTGTTGTGCTGTCTGTGGCTGTGTTATCAGCCATAATGTTTGATCATGTTATATTTTTCTTTATTCTTTGACAGCTTTTCATTATGTGGCAATTTTACCAGTTAAATGTTAGATACTGATATTCAGTTCCCTCTCTGCCACAGTTTCACTTTTCCAAGTTTTAGTTATTCGCAGTTGACTTTAGTCCAAAAACATTAAATGAGAAGTTCCAGAAGTAAAAAATTCATGAGATTTAAATCCAGCCCATTATGAATATCATGATGAAATCCTGTGTTGTCTCACCGTGTAAATCATCCTTTTATCCAATATATCCATGTTATATACACTAGTTGCCTGTTAGTAATTTAGTAGTTGTTCTAGTTACTAGATTTGTCATGGTATCATAGTTCTTGGGTTCAATGACCTTTATCTATCTATCTATCTATCTATCTATCTATCTATCTATCTATCTATCTATTTTAGAATGGCCCCAAAACACAAGAGTAGTAATTCTGGAAATTCTTATATGTGCCAAAGAGGAAAACTGAAGTGTTTCCTTTAAGTGAAAAAATGGAAGCTCCTGATTTATAAGGAAAATATAT